TCGCGTTTCTACGGCGAGTAAGGGGTTCCAGGAATCGCATTTATTTGTATTAATATGTATTTATATCGGTCCCAGAAGGGAACCGATCAACTTAAAATATATTAATGATGTATTTAAATGTTAGATACCACAGACCCCCTACTGTAGTATCCTAGATTGAACCATATACTCTTTATTGGATTTCCTTTCTAAAGGTATCATGTTTATAAATTTACCATTTGTTTCTATTACTAATTGGTGGCATGCAAGGTAGAATGTAAAAGTACTACGTTGGTTTACTAACTATTATATTTACAAGTTTAAATAAAACCAAAACCATCTATATACAAAATAATAACTAGACCTATATACATAATGAATAGTTGAGAATCATACTAGAGGAGAATGCTTGATGTTTGATTAAAGTTACGTGTTATATTTATTATATTAATTAATGATGTATGGTTGCCAACACAAATTTACATTAGTATAACTAAATGCTTGTTACCACTTAGCTGGTCCTTCATAGTGTTTCTAGCTGTCATATCTGGATTCCCTGTCTCTGCTCTTCTTCAGCGTCTAGTCCGTCCATCTGCTCTCTCCGGCTGTCTTCATCTTCCTCCCTCGACTCCCCGGAGGAAGTCCTCTCAGCTCTGAGTTCCAAAAAGAAGTGTCCAGTCCAAATTCTCTATCTCCCACCTTTTTTCATCCCCCTCTCTTTTGGCAGCCTTTTTCCTGATTGGCTGAATATTCCCAGCCTAAGGGATGACCACGCCCTCTCCCCCAGGCCACGGTAAAGCAGCAGGTACAGATTTCCATATTTCTGGTGGAAGGTGTGAAAAGGTCTTTCGGGATCCTTTTTAAACATTTAGTTGTCGGTCTTTGTCGGTGGTCCTTAAGGGTTTTTATTACCACTTACAAAAGGTTGTCCTAATGGGTTACCCTCCCTCAGGTACCCAACCGCCAGATGTTGGGTTTATACCTAAATATGTTTATATTTAGGTAATACCTAAATTACCTTAATGTTTATTTGTTTATACCTTTAAACTAATTATTCCACCGACGGTCTTTACAATACATAGCAATTTTGTAGTCTGCAACTGATATAGGTAGCCTAGTACTATGTAGGCTACCTATATCAATATGAAATTACATAAATAAATAATTAGTTTTTATGCTCTCCTTTAAAAATCTAAATTTTTACGTACAACTTTTTACTACTAACTGTAGCGATTTACATAGTATTACTGGGATTTTTTTTTCACGATTCATCAAATATACGATTTGCAAATGTAGAATTATCCCACATTTTAGTATTCGCTGATGAACGAAATAGGTGGATATCAAAAACGGGAATTTTAAGGAATTATTTACTGTATTTCCGATAATGGCTTCTACCTGAGATTTCATTCTCCTAAGAAAAATTATAGAATTTGAAATATAGATATTGTTCAGCCAATGAAACGGCGAGGAAGCTATAATGGCCTTACTTGGCAGACGTTTTTTTCTTATCTCCGGTGTTTACGGCCTCTAAAACTTTTCTTCATATAAGAAAGTATTATGTTCTGCCGTCAAACAAAATAAAAATTTATACAACCTCAAAGTCTAGAACTAAGTCTCTAACTAGCGAGAAGTCCTATCACAAACTGGACTTATAATGATCACTAAACAATCATAAAAAAAAAATTGAACTTTCGAAACCGCATGGATCATACTTTAAATAAAAATATAACATTAAAAACGACAATAATAATCTGTAACATCTCTTAATAGTCTTTTGCCCAGTTAGTGCCTTACAAATTGAACGACAGACAACTTATTTCTTTTTAATCCTTTTCGTTTTATACTGTTTTACCTCAGAGTAAAAATCCCCTAGTACTTACATCGTTGATTTTTATCAGAAGTTAGTTACGTAAATTTTAACTCAATATTTTCAATAATTTTTCCTGAAAACGTCTATTCTCTTCTTTCGAGAGTTCATTTTATTATCTCTCTAAATGAAACTGCTGACGGGTTAGAAAACTTTACTGTGGTCTCTTTAAAGAGAGAGACCATCACGACAATAATCAAACTTTTCACAGCTCTCTTAGATTTGCCTTTCAATCTGCTTAGATCCACAGCTTCCGAAGATGTTGCAAGAAAAAACTATATTACATTAGTGACAAATAAAGGAATCATCTAGTAGTCCACGTTAAGAAAGAGAAAATCTTCTACACAATTTCAGGTGGGTATCTTGTCAAATACATCTTCAATTTTACTTAATTTATTCCTTCAGTCGCATGCCAATAATAATTCTTAAGTTGATTCTTATTTCAGTTACAAACTATTATTGTTAGCCGTATGCGTATTAAATAGTTCTTTCTCAAATACATGCATATACATATATGTAATATATGCATTAATATATATGCATATATTACATATATGTAATGAACTAGTTATATTGATGCAAGAATATCACCTGGTCAGCAAATGGAATTCGCTTGCAAATATCCAACGTTACTTTTTAAAAATCTGCTATTCGTTTTCCTCATCCTTAAAAATTGCCAACATGCCTACATTAAATGAAGTGTTTTTTTATTTATTCAAAATCCTACCCTAACTGTAAGATAATGCGGCCTTACGCAGCAGTGGATTGTAATGCATGCTTTCATTTACAACTCATTACTTCTATCAAACCAATAATAAAGGAAGGAGATGGTCCGATGTGGTAAATAGGCTAAATAGTGGTAAAACGATTTTATTAAAAGCCAACGTTTCGACCCGATTTTGCAGGTCTTCTTCAGGACTAGAACATAGAAGTTACACTTCCACTTTTCACTTTTGTATTCATTTTACTTTATTTTTTAATCATGCCTCAATATTATCTAATATTTAAACGTAATTTTCTTACATAGGTACAACCAAATATAATTATAATTATATTTTATTTATTTATTTTTTCCCCTCTCTATATTTCTAAGTTAGTTCTGCAATGTATGGTCTCTTATTTCTATATTTATATTTTACTTCTATGTACGTTTTACTTCATCCATTTTTGTTTTTATTCACATTGTACTCTTATCTACAATCTCTTAATTCTATTTTATATGTATATGTATATATTTATAATTTAATATTTCATAGATATAGTATTTTTCACCTTGTATCCATCCATATCTTCAAATTTTAGATACTGTAATTTTCAAGGTTTTTCCCCATTACCCAAACAATTCAGCAAATTTCCCAATACTTACCCTTACCTTGGTTTTCCAGTTCTAAGTGAAACTCCTAGCTGACCTGTAAGTCTCTAATTTCATTCTTGTAATTTTATTTACTTATTTATTTAATTTTTCGTTTTTGTTTTCTTTCTCCACATTCTTTTATGTCTATTATTTCATATTATATCTTTTTTCTTTTCTTTCAATCTCTCCTGTAGATCTGTAGAAGTATGTTCACATTTGAAATTATTATAGATTACACTACAACAATTGTTACCATCTATTTGCTTCACTTTAGGATCCTGTTACTTAGCTTACTCTGTTTATATTTTAATGTACTTACTGTTTATAATTTTAATAAGTTTTTTTTTTGCCCATTCTAGCCCTGAAGAAGCCCTGCAAAGTCGGGTCGAAACATTGGCTTTTAATAAAATAGTTTTACCACTATTTAGCCTATTTATGACCGCCACCCCGGACCATCTGCTTCCTTTATAATGCAACGGTCAACTATCAAATATTCAATACAAACCAATAATATTTCTTTTTTGTTCTTCTTCGTAAGAATGGGGAGAGTGATAAGACCTAGATGCTGAATTTGTTTAGAAGCGATATTCACAATGAATAAAATAAAGTAAGCATAAAGAAAATGGTATAATTGATATGGTGATATGTGCTGGCATCTCTTGTAGACATACTTGCTATATGCTGGGCCACGGAGACTATTTTTCATGCCTCTGCTGTACCTTGACCATCCTGGTCTAGTTCCACCATGTAGAGTGATCTTTTGTTCATCTACTCCGATAGATGGCGCTGCTGTTGTGCATTATTTGACCCGTTTAAAATTTCTGATTTACGTGTTCTTATCAAGTGGATGGAATCAACTAGTTCCATGCACCAGTACAAAGAACGGTATTTGGTACGATTAGTTCTTCTGGATCAAATGAAGGAACACCAAAACTTTCTAAAAAAAAAAATCCTTTTAATCATAAGCTTAAACTTGAAGTCTCAATCCATTGCTGTCCTCCTTTATTTCTTACTACAATAATTATAGTTGCTTGGTGTTTTGTGAAATGTAACTATCTAATGCCTGGTGGACTTTAGATAACTCTGAAGTACCTTAAAGACTGGTTTATGAACTTCAATTTCGAATATCTCAGATTTCGGTTGATATGCCGAGTTAAGAAGTTCAACGGCAATATATATATATATATATATTTTTTTTTTTGTCTATCCATATAGCATCCGGGTGTTTTCTCCGGGCCATGGGATTTATGCCAGAGTTAAAAGCTCCCTCGGCATCAGGTGTAGTTATTTTATCATATTATCTTCAATTTCTTAGGTTGGCTGGCAACGCCTGTTATGCACACACGGTAGCACGTTCGGCCACCTCGCCATTATGGCTGCAATATTCCTTCGCGTAATTCTTTTACGTTTTAGGTCCTTAAAAAAAAAAAAATCTCTACACGTCTTTGATTCTTCTCATCTTAAAAGATAAAACTCGAACCAATTAATTTGTGAATCTCCTCCGAATAATCCGTAATGGTGAAAAATGGAGGTCAGGAATCTAGAAAAGTCACTAGAGTACTTAAAATTGTAAAATAGCATAAAAGTATAGCTGATATAATGTCATTGATCTGATCGTGAACCAAATTTAAATTTTGTGGTCTAGGCACAGTAAGCTTCGGGAATTACAAATGTGAAACAAATGAAGAAAAATCCTAAATAAAATGGTAACATAATAAAATAAATGTGAATAACATAGATATGACTAATATAAATAGATCATGCTTTATATAATAATAAATATATGAGAATGCTGACCATTGGTTCGTCGGTATTCTTCTGAAACTGAACGAGGCGGACGCGGGTGACGTGCTCAAGGTCCAGGTCCCCGTTGGGGGCCTCCAGGTCGTCGTCATCGCCGTTGAGGTAGGGCAATGGCGGGGGGGTCACCCTTATCGCCTCTTCCCCGTAGATTTCGTGAGCCACCACATCGTGGGCCTGCAGCATGCCCTGCAAAGTGAGAGAGTAAGTTAGTTCAGCATGAAAGCATTCAGGTCTTTAAGGATAGGTTTAGGTTTTCACAGGATAAATAAAATATATTGGTCGGATCACAACAAGTCAAAAATGAGCGAGAAAAGAAGATTACATTTCGATAAAGAAGGACGGATAGTGCAAAAATAGTATTTTCCAAAATTTAAATGGTCTATAGCTTGGTAGAGGAATCCTCAAACTATTATAGGTATTTACCTAATTAAAAGGTAAAAGCCAAAATATTTATAAAAGAAGAAAATGGTTTATTGTATATTGATTAAATGTGTTGAGGTAGTGTTTCGGTGAAGCCGTTGATCTACACCAGAACAAAATAAAATACAGGTATAATAAAAAAGACAAAACACGAAGTAATAAAATAGTATACATACAATATAAAACATGAAATGAAAATTAAAAAAAAAAAAAAATTGTCTTTAAAACATATAAGTACCTATCTACGTAAAAAACATGTAAACAATGAATTCCATTGCAGTAGATCGACATTTTAAGACAGTGTCTTACGAGGCAGTGCAGATCTTAGAAGGGGAGATACCTCTCGATCTCCTCCTGCAAGAAGACTAGATCAAATACGCCTATAGGAGAGAAGGCTTGGCAGGGATTCCGGAGTACCTCCGAGTCAGGATTGAGAGAAGTTACCTTCGAAGAGTGGAAAAGGCTACTAATAAGGGGGCTATTCTAAGGAAGTATTTTGCCACCGTACAGTACCGACTAGCAGCCAGATGGACCAAACCAGACTATTGGGTCTCTCAATTCCTCACTGGGCATGGAAGTATTCGTGTCAAGTTACACAGTCTTGAACAAGACATCGATTCCCTCTGCTCCATTTGTGGTAACCCGGAAACTGCCGAGCATGTGATCGCCAACTGCACTGCGTTTGAAGCACTGAGGGCCAAGCTAATAAGGAGCACAAATATCTACAATATCAACTAAGGAGATTTACCTCTTCTTGTCACTGCAGATAACTACAAGCCATTCCTGTATGGTTGGGAGGAACAAATAGGCGCAGTCCATTTCTCCTCCTCCCCCCCAAAAAACGGAATCGGGTATTGCCGAAAAGAGAAAGAAGGGAGAAGGAAAAAAAAAAAAAAAAAAAGATCGAGATTTTTAAATAACATAATTTACAGAACATATTTTGGGATGATGAATTTTCCAAAAAAAAAGTACAACTAACGTATATGTATAGTATGAAATAAAATTAGTCATGTGATGAATATAACTTGTAGTCACTTTTACAATATCCTCTGGAATTTCCTAACACCAATCGAAAATTTTTCAAAGGAGTTTCCTGGAGCATTCCTTTTCTAATAAAATAACTGGATAGTAATAAATATTTAAATGTTTGTTTGAAAACATAATCATGACCATTTTATTATAAATGGATATACACAACTTATTTCTTAAGTAAATATTTTATTTATTATTATTTGTTTCCTCTCTAAACTAGGTAGCTCTATATTTGTGCTGAAAGTTAGAAAAAGGATTGTGTTCGAATTAAAAAATTTCCACTAGCATTTTACGTAGATTTGCACTCACATTTTTATTTGTCAAGGAATAAATTTGGTTCCGTGTCTTTGTAATCAAAGGACATAACGTGTAATCTTGATTCCGATTTTGATGACATTTTCAGGCATTGTACGGTTTGGTACAAAGGTGACTTCATCATCAACTACTTCCGCTAGCGTATGCGCAAACATAATGCGATATGACAATACACCCAAAACTGCTCCTTCCATGTTTGGAGTTTGAGGAAAATTAGGCTAAGTGTTGAACAATCTAATATTACTTTGGTCAAATTACCTACTTTAGGTATCAAATTACCTAGTTACCTACTTTCATTTATGGATGGGTAAAGGTATTTTCCTGGATACGCCTATATTTCAGACACAGGTCATTTGAAGTTGGGAAATTTGTTTTTTAATATATCAACATTTCTTCATTGAGTAATATTAAATGTTGTCACAGTAAAGGAAATTAGTGATAGAGATAGAATAGATCATCCACACTCCAATTACAATAATTTAATAAAAATTAAATAAAACTACGAAGAAAATTGACAAATAATCTCGTATCTATTCCCATTCAATAATTAAGATTACTGTAGTTATTAAGAATGTAAGCGCTGAGAAATGTAGGCAATAAACACACGACAATGGGAGGTAAGATAATTTTTGAAACTTAATGCGAATTATTAGACTTTGTTTCTTCTTTTTATTCTATTCAATTTTAAAGGATATTAGAATGTTAGTGGAGAGTATGCGTATTTACGTATTTTTATGAATGCAATACAAATCGTGAGGGAGGAATACTAATTTGCTTGACAAACGTTTTTAATAACTCCTTAAATGAGAATGCATAAGAGAAGAAATTACGAAACTTTAACAATACGTGAGTGACTGATCTCATTTCTATTAAAAATAAATTTTCTTATCATATTTTTTTAAGTTCGGTTTCATTTTTTTTTTTAAATCATTAGGCCAAAGGTTCTATCACGTTTTTACATTATGTTTTAAGTATTAAACGTTTCACGAGCCATTTTCAAGATTCTGCAAACAAATTTTAATTATATATTAAAATTAATTATATATTTAAAGGTGACCTTTGGCATAATGCTTAAAAAAAAAAAAACATCCCACCTCTCATAATTACTCCTATAAGAATATTTGTGTTCTACCAATGTATGTCAATGTTCACAATAGTTTCATTCCTTGTGACTTTATAAGTCCATTTATATTTTTAAAACGCGCCTTTTAATGTCATGAGAAAAATCGTGATTCGCGGTCTTTTGAGACTTTTCTGGGGTGGTGCGTGCATAACACAACTTTCACTTACGACCTAATTTTATTTCTTCTTAGCAGAAATAAGTATTTTCAGACAAAGGGGAAGTGAAAGTAAAAATTATAGACACTATATTTATTTATATTTCATTGTGGGTATTTTTATTTGTATGTACCCTTATATAAACCCTTATATATACAAATTTTAATATTCATATCGCAATAATCTATACAATTGAATATTTAATAATACCAACAATAGCATTTATAAAAACTGCATATTTATATTTATATAACATTTTCGGAGCCGATATTATATTAAGCTCATGTTACATATGGAAGCGTGTTCTAATCTTTCGGGCGAGCTTGGGTGCGGATTCCTTAGGTTCATGAATTACAACTATTCTCCGTTACGATCACTTATTTCTACTTTTGTTAATCATCAAATTCTTTCATATTTTATACTTGACCATCTTTTATATTATAGATTAATGTAAAATGGTCAATTATTTCAAATAAAAAAAATTAAAGATTCTTTACGGGAAGGTAATATTGAAAATTTGCAATTTAAGCCTTGTTAGAAAAAATCCAACAAAATAGAAAGTACATTTTATTTAAAACTTTTTGATTTTACACTGATATAATGAATTTAATCAAAATCGTTAGAGCCGTTTTTGAGAAAATCATAAAAATTTGTTTAGTTCATGATATAAAGTGCCACTTCCGGTTAGCCGATTTTGACGAAAAAGTTACTGGAACATTCCTAGCATATACAAATCTTAAATATCCAATTTCACTTTCGTACGAATTTTGATTTTTAAGGTAGACTGTTAAAACACACACTCACAGACATACACACACACAGCCCATTTTGCGGAACTTGTTTATTTGGACTCGGGACCTCAAAACGTGTATTTTCGTTGATAACTGGGATTCGATAATTTTCACGGTCGCAATACTTTTCTTTACTATAATTTCATATATAGGTAAGTGAAAGTAAAAAAGTCTAAGCGGCTACTGCCGAAGAACATTGTTACATAAAAGTCAGTTATCCAATACTGTTGCACTTTGCATTCGGAGTTATCCATTGAACATTGTGTTTGGTGGACTTCGAAGAGCTAGTTACTGATGGTCAAGCAGTGGACTCAAACAGTTTTGAGTGCAAAATACACCAAGTGCAAATATTTCGATCAACAGGAACCAAGTATTTTGCAAAATGCATGAAAAATTATCGGAACTGCAAGCAGTAAATGTTTTGTCTCATTCTACGTACAGTACTGATATTGCATAATCAGATTATAGTTTGTTTTGATCAATAACTTATTTTTTAAATATCGTATGTTCGATAATTAAAAGGACATATGAATTGGATGTGAAGAGCTCTTTGCCTCAAAACCAAAGCAGTGATACCGGCATCAAATCCAATTGCTGGCAGAAAATATTTGAAACAATGGACTTCACTTTGAAGAGTAGTACCCAATAATGTTTAAAATGTATAACATGAAATGAAGCTATGCACAAGGATTTTTTTAACAACCTAGTAATAGTCCGTGGTACAGACCCCTTTTTATCGAATTATTAACATTCGGCTGAAACTTCGTAAATAGAATTTTCACAATTGGGGCGTTTTCAATCTGGAGATCGGCAAACTTTGTCTATTTAATCATTTACTAAAAACTCGTAAATACTCATTTGCTTTCCACGTAAGATAACATGAGAATATAGTCAAGAAAAAAGGTAGCCTTAAAAAATACTGAGCCGTTTGGTGTAAACTACACCTCCAAATTAACTAGATTATATGGGCAAAACGAATGAATATTTTTGAAGGCCATCTTTTTTCTTGACTTTGTGCTCAAGTTATCTTACGATTTAAGGGGAAAACTAATGAGTATTTTCGACTCTTCAGTATCTAATTGAATAGACAAAGTTTGCCGACTTCAGGATTTAAAACGCCCAAATTCCCAGAATCTTCGTAAATAAAATATTTGTAGGTTACGATGAGATGGAGCTATTTACGAAGTATAAGCCGGATGTTCATGATTTGATAAAAAGGCGTCTGCACCACGGATTATAAATTATAATGCTTAGATTAAAAAAAAATAAAGTCAATAGTTTTTCAGTTTTTATAATGAATAAATCAACTTCTTTCCTAACCATCCTCAGAAGAGAATATTCAGGTATAAATT